CTTGTTGCAGAACACGGACTCTAGGCATGCGGGCTTCAGTGGTTGCAGCGCACAGGCTCAGTAGTAGTGGCACACGGGCTTAGTTGCCCCGCGGCATGTGAGATCTTCCCGGACCAGGGATTAAACCTTTGTCCCCTGCATTGGCAGGCAGATTCTTAACCACTGTGCCGCCAGGGAAGTCCCTTTATTGTTTATTTATTTACTTATTTTTGGCCGCACCACGTGGCCTTGTGGGATCTTATTTCCCCGACCAGGGATCACACTCGGGCCCCCTGCAGCGAAAGCCCTGAGTCTTAACCACTGGACCACCAGGAAATTCCCCTGAATTTTATATTTAACATTTCCTTGCTTTTCCTTATGGCTTTGCCACATATGTTAATATCCTTAAACAGTTTGTTTCTTCTGGCATGTTTTTGACGTTGGCACTGTTGTATTTGTGAGAATCGTCCATTTTGATGTGTGTGCTTTGGTTTACTCAGTCTTGCTTCTCTGTAGCACCCGTCATAGGAATATGCCACATTCTGCCGTTCTGCTGCTGATGGACGATTGGGTGGTTTCCAGTTTTTTGCTGTTACAGTCAGTACCACCTTAACTATTCTCGTTCCTCTCTGCTGGGGAACACATCAAAGAGTTTCTCTGTCTTATATACCTGGGAGTGAAATTACTGGGTTGTGAGGTAGTCATTACATTTTTAGATTTACGACATAAGGCCAAATTGTTTGCTAATAAGGGTCCTCTAATTTATACTCTGCTAGTGGGAGGTGACAATTCCTGTTGGGCCACATCTTTACCAAACTGACATGACGTGATCAGATTAAAATTTTTTACCTATCTGCTGGATGAAGATAGTATCTCACTGTTGTTTGAATTTGTATTTTTTATCTTATTATTTGAAGTGTGATGGGAAAGAGGTGGTTGACTCTAAAGCCGTAGTCTGTATCTCCAAAGGTAGCTGGATTGTGGGAAATTCCCCCAAATTTGTTCCAGTTGGAGAAAGATGGCAGTCAGGAGAGAGCCCCAGAATCGTGTGAATTCCTGCAAAGCTCCAGCCCAGCATTCCTGCCCGAGGCAATCCACCCCGTCCTTCTTCCCAAGATGTCACCCACCAGCCTCTCAGGCCTTTCTGAGCCCACGCCTTTCACTGGAATGAGGTCATTGGAATCCCTGGAACCCAAGGAGTGACCGCCAGGGTTTGTGGGGCAAGCACACCAGCCTTCCTTGAGAAATGACGGCACCTCGCTCACCCAGACCGTCTGGAGGGAAGAAAATTCCAAGCAGTCCAGCCCGACTTCACATTTTCCCTGTGAACCAAAGTGGGAGGAAATCTTCAGCCAGAGGCCTTTGGGGAGGAGCACGGGGCAAGGAGAGGGCTGGGGTGGCAGGAGGGAATCACTGTTTTCATTTATCACCGTGAGATCCCAAACCAGCTTCTCTCCTAGAAGCAAACATGCCTTAAGGCTTTGCTTCCTGAATTGAGGCAGTGTGGAGAAGCGTGGAAATTTCAGAGCTGGCCCTGGACCCGGATTTTCCACTTGCACGTGGACGACCTTGGGCAGGTGACTTCACCTTTCTGAGCACTGATTGGTTTATTTGTATGTTAGGGGTCCTAGGTGGAGTGGGCCCCAGGGCTAACTCAGTGCCTGGAACATACCAAGAGCCCCATGAAAGATAGTATGATAATATTCCTCAAACTTTGGGAATGTTTTAGAGCAGGTGGCTTAAGATGGGTTTTCTTAAACTGAAGCTGTTTCCCCTCCTCTAGGCAGATACTTTTTAAAGATGAAGCACGATTTGGAAGTGGGAGGGAAACTACCACATTGCACATTTAGCTTCTTAATGTTTTAAATCAGTCATCAATAGGCATAGACTGTACCTTCCCAACAAAGCCCTGAGCCAAGCAGAATGAAGGAAGTAGGATGATAATGATCCTTGACACTTCTTAGCCTTTTTATGGGTTTCAAAGGCCGACCTTGCCCAGAGCAATGAAAGCTCCACAGCAGCCCTGGGTGCCATAGGGGGTGGCTCCTGTTTGGGGAAGAAATCTGAGCCCTAAGGACTTGCCCAAAGTCATACAGGAAGGCTGGGGTAGAATAAGGATTAGAGCCCAGATTGCCCCAGTCCAAGCCAAACCCTCCCCTGTGCCCTGATGCCTCCCATGCCCGGTGCCAGCCACTGCCTGAGCACTGTCCCCTACCCACCTCTGCTCTCTGCACTCCAGCCTCTGGGCCTTTACTCTTGCCTTTCCAGCCACCAGGAATGCCATCCCTCCTGACCTTGATTACTGAAACCCTTCTCTTTAATGTAGGCAGCCAGTAGAACAATACACAGGCCTTAAGAATGATATTGTGGGGACTTCCCTGCTGGCACAGTGGTTAAGAATCCGCGTGCCAGGTCTTCCCTGGTGGCGCAGTGGTTGGGAGTCTGCCTGCCGATGCAGGGGACACGGGTTCGTGCCCCGGTCCGGGAGGCTCCCGCGTGCTGTGGAGCGGCTGGGCCCGTGAGCCATGGCAGCTGAGCCTGCGCGTCCGGAGCCTGTGCTCTGCAACGGGAGAGGCCACAGCAGTGAGAGGACCGCGTACCGCAAAAAAAAAAAGAATCTGCCCGCCAATGCAGGGGACGTGGGTTCGATCCCTGGTCCGGGAAGATCCCACATGCCATAGAGCAACTAAGCCCACGCACCACAAATACTGAGCCTGCACGCCACAACTCCTGAAGCCCGTGTGCCTAGAGCCCTTGCTCCACGACAAGAGAAGCCACCGCAATGAGAAGCCCACGCACCCCAATGGAGAGTAGCCACCGCTCGCTGCAACTAGAGAAAGCCCACGTGCAGCAACGAAGACCCAATGCAACCAAAAATAAATAAATAAAAATGAATAAAATTATTAAAAAAAAGAAAAACAGGGGACTTCCCTGGTGGTCCAGTGGTTAAGATTCCGTGCTCCCAATGCAGGGGCATGAATTCGATCCCTGGTTGGGGAACTAAGATCCCGCATGCCCCACAGCGTGGCCTAAAAAATAATAATAATGACTAAATAAATAAATCAAAAAACTATGAAACAAATTCATACATAATAATTATGATCACATTTTTTTAAAGTACGTGTATATATATATATATTCTGCCTTGCCAGCTCCATCTTAGGGTCCTTGAAGCTACATGTCTGCTTCCCTTGCTGGGCTGTGAATGCTTTTAAGGCAAGACCTGTTTGCTAAGCTGACCTGGAAGAGATAAAATGAATCATAGGGATTCCTGGTGGAGTTGTAGCATTCCATGCAAGGCAGGGGGAGACACAGTGGGGTCTGTGGACGAGGCTAAGGGGTCTTGGCATTCTTCTTGCCAACCCCATATACCCAGGGGCTGCCTGCCAGGCCCCATGGACTTAAGACCCCAGGACTTGCCCCTGTCCTAAATACTGAAACCCAGATTCAAGTCCCGAGACACAGAGGAGAAAAGAAAATGATTCTTTAAGATTTTTTTTGTGACTAAATTTCCAGTTTTCATTTGGAAAGCCAAATGTATTTTCTGGATTTGAACTTCACCACGAAAAATGCTCTGGGGTTTTTATTTTGGCAGTTAATTTCTTTGCTTAACAAAAAGGTGGTTTGGTTTGGTTTGGTTTTGAGTCATGCATGCTCACTCTAGGAAATTTGGAAAATTCATATGAATAGAAGAAAGTTCACTGCTCCCCTCCCCAATTTGTAGAGAAATAAACTGTAACAATTTGGTATCTTTCCAAGTGGCCTCTGTGTGTGTGTGTGTGTGTGTGTGTGTGTGTAGAGTTATTTTGTTTAGTTTCCATTGTTGCTGAATAAATAGGATGACTTCTGATTCACAATTTACAGAACTGGTTTCATGTCCTTGTAACAAGCCTGTGATGCTTCCAACAGCTGTGACACTTTGCCCCCTCTGGGGATTGTGGGGGTGGGCACGTCGCGCTCCCCTGGATTCTCCTCACACTTGTGAGAGTGCCAGTTACGCTGCACAGCTGCCAACACTAAACAGTATCCTTTTAATCTTAGAGTTAATCTCAAGTGTCTAAATTGTCCTTCTAGAGCCTAACTCTACTTTTTTTTTTCCTTAACCCCCAGAACTTCTGAACACGTGCCCTTCTCGATGAACCCACAGTGATCTCTTTGTTTTGCCTTCTCCCAGCTCATGCATTCTTCAAGTCTTGGTAACCGGAATGTTTTGTCTGTTTGGGCTCCAAACGTTCAGTGGGACAGGAACGAAAGTTAAGTACCTCATGACACGTCCAGACGAACCTGAGAAAATTGTGAGCTGTTGACTGCACTGCCTCTCTGAATCAGCTGGTACTTCTTTTTGTCTCTAGTTTTAAAAGCTCCCCAGAGGGGACTTGCCTGGTGGCACAGTGGTTAAGAATCTGCCTGCCAATGCAGGAGACACGGGTTCGATCCCTGGTCTGGGAAGATCCCACATGCAGTGGAGCAACTAAGCCCGTGCGCCACAACTACTGAGCCTGTGCTCTAGAGCCCGTGCTCCACAACAAGAGAAGCCACAGCAATGAGAAGCCCGCCCACCGCAACAAAGAGTAGCCCCCTCTCGTGCAACTAGAGAAAGCCCAGGTGCAGCAATGAAGACCCAAACACAGCCCAAAATAAATTAATTAATTAATAAAAAAAAAAAAACAAAAAACTCCCCAGAGGCGACCTGAAAGCCAGAATCTTCTCAGAATAGGATGGAGGAAATTATTCTGAAGTTCTCATTAAACACATTTATCTCTCAAGCTTTGGAAGGAGCCAAAATGCCAAAGGCAAGAATTCTAGAGCACTGCCTACACTGTTTTGATATCCTGATAAATGTCTAACAAATCTACCATGTGTCCTCTAGGCCTGACCAGTTGCTGGGCAAAGTTCCAGAACAGTGAGACATCTTGGGATTCATCTGGTTTAGGAAAGACCTTTAACTACCAGGTGGTAGTCACCTCAATGTTCTTTAAATAGTCAGGTTTTGAGGTCTTTTCACTGGGGTCTGTTCTGATGGCTGCCTCCCACCAGCGTGAAACAGAAGGATGACCTTATTCTATGAGCAGAACAACTGTGAAGGAAGTAGCTGCGTGTGTGAAAGTCTGGGAAGAGAGAGCCACCTACAATGTCCCCACCAAACCAGTCAGTGGAAGGCCTTCTGCAGGGAGCTCCCAACAGATCCCTGAATGCCATAGAAACTCCGGGGGCTTGGGATCCAGGGACCCTCCAAGCCCTCAAGATTTCTCTTGCTGTGGTCCTTTCCATCATCACACTGGCCACAGTCCTTTCCAACGCCTTTGTGCTTACCACCATCTTCCTGACCAGGAAGCTCCACACCCCAGCCAGCTATCTCATTGGCTCCCTGGCCATGACTGACCTCTTAGTTTCCATCTTGGTCATGCCCATCAGCATCGCATATACCACCACCCACACCTGGAGCTTTGGCCAACTCCTGTGTGACATCTGGCTGTCTTCTGACATCACGTGCTGCACAGCCTCCATCCTGCATCTCTGTGTCATGGCTCTGGACAGGTACTGGGCCATCACTGATGCCCTGGAGTATAGTAAACGCCGGACAGCAGGCCGTGCGGCCGCCATGATTGCCATCATCTCGGCCATCTCCATCTGCATCTCCATCCCACCACTCTTTTGGCGGCAGGCCAAAGCTCAGGAAGAGATGTCGGACTGCCTCGTGAACACTTCTCAGATCTCCTACACCATCTATTCCACCTGTGGGGCCTTCTACTTCCCGTCTGTGTTGCTCATCATCCTCTATGGCCGGATCTACACGGCCGCCCGGAACCGCATCCTGAATCCGCCATCCCTCTACGGGAAGCGCTTTACCACAGCCCGTCTCATCACAGGCTCTGCGGGGTCCTCGCTCTGCTCGCTCAGTCCCAGCCTTCACGAGGGGCACTCTCATTCCGCCGGCTCCCCTCGCTTTTTTAACCACGTGAAGATCAAGCTTGCGGATAGTGTCCTGGAGCGCCAGAGGATTTCTGCTGCCCGAGCGAGGAAAGCCACTAAAACCCTGGGGATCATTCTGCCCGAGAGAGGAAAGCCACTAAAACCCTGGGGATCATTCTGGGCGCCTTTACCATCTGCCGGCTGCCCTTCTTTGTTGCATCTCTGGTCCTCCCCATCTGCCAGGACTCCTGCTGGATCCACCCAGCCCTTTCTGACTTTTTCACCTGGCTAGGCTATCTAAACTCCCTCATCAATCCAATAATCTATACTGTGTTTAACGAAGACTTTCGGCAAGCATTTCAGAAAGTCATCCATTTCGGGAAAGCCTCTTAGTCTTGTTTGGTGGCAAATCTTGTTATCTTTTATGTCCTGTAACCCAACTGGAATTGTCTTTTTTATTTTTCCTGAGAGTTGGGTTAGTCCTGATATCTTGGGTTTTGGTTCAATCAATAGAATTGTTCAGCGTTCTTTTTTGCTGTTGTTTTCTTGACCTCTGAGCCACCCAAAGCTGGGCAGCTGTGTAAAATGGGACAAGACCTCACTTAGTATAATATTTTCACAGTTCATCCATGTTGGAAAGAATGTGACCACAGGCTTCCCCGTTGATGCAATTCAGGCAGAAAGCTGCCTGACTCTGTAGGAAGACCCCAGGCTCAAAGGGGGGAGGCTTTCTTGTCTATGTAAGTTTTGTATGGAGCTTAAAAGAGGGTAGATGAGATTAACGACCTGAGTTGAAAGAGAATTTGGAGTCAGGTGGATGGGTTTCCATTCCATATGGCACCTTAATTGGAAATTAACACCCAAGTATCAATATTTCTTCCGCTGAGTCCTTCTTAGATTGAATCTTCCTTAGTTGTTCATGGCGAGAGATTCAGCATTGGAGGTGCCAATGCTACAGAGTGACAGAGAGAGATTCAGAAGCCAGGGGCAGGGGAGTGGGATGGTTGGAACCAGATAGCTACCCTGTGCCTATCCTCCTTCCCCAGTTTCCCTGCACCATCTTAATGTTCTGACGTTAAAACCCACAGTTACGCCCATTGAAGTAGATTGACAGGATTTGCACCTACCAAGCTTGGAATACCATTCTGAATTTTGTTCCTATATCCCATTCTCTTTAGAGATCTTAAGCTGTTGGGTATTGTCAAATAAAAAGCATGAAACATCATGATCAGCAAAGCCTCAAAGGGGTAATTTTTCCCCCTCTCCCTGGACATAGAAACCTTTCAATTCAATTCAGTCTCTAGCATTTATTGAGCACCTACCACATGCCAGGCCCTGTGCCAGAGTCCTGGTAGTTATTATTTCATTGGAGCCTCATAACAATGGAAGTCAGTGTAACGTGATGATTACAGAGGAGGACCTAATGCCTCAGTTCAAATCCAAGTACTACCAATTTCTAGCTGGGTGACCTTGGACAGGTTTCTTAATCCCTCTTTGCCTCACTTCCCTCAAATGTAAAATGAGGAAAATAATGGGTATATTATTGTATATTTTAATACAGTGCTTGGCCTAAGAGCTCTTATCATTTTAGAGATACAGAAACTCACCTGCCCGAGGTCAAGCCATATAAAAATAGCAGCTGCCTGCAGTGCTCCTTACATACAATTTCTGGTTTGCTTTTCATCCTCATTTTGCAATAAAGAAACTTGCCTATGGTTAGGGAAGATTTCATAAAGACGTGACACATCAGCAGACTCCCGAAAGATGAGCCTTTTGGGGGTGGGAGACTAAGGAAGGGGAGGTGTGATGAAGCCTTGTGGGGGAGATGGGGCAGAGCAAAGGAAGGTAGGGAAGGTCACGCCAGGTGGAGAAAAGAGCAGGAACAGAGCCTGGGAGGCCTGTAATGCTCCATGGGGTCTCTGGGCACAGGGAGAAGGAGAGTCAGGAATATGGAATATCAGAGAGGGAGAAAAAAGGAGGGATGCCAAGATAAGGGTAGGGGAGCACCCAGAGGAGTCTTGTGCTGACCTTGAAGTTTCTGCTGGACATCTCACAGTGTGGTCCCTGGACCATCTGCATCAGAATCTCCCAGGGAGACTCCATCAACATTGAATTTCTGGTCCCCAACTCAGACCCACTATATCAGAATCTCTGGCAGTGAAACCCAGGAATCTGTTTTAAATAAACCTCTCTCCACTTCTTGCACTAGGTGATTTCTAGGCACTAGATTGTTCCCAAATTTCTAAAACCACTGTGTTAGTGGCTTGCTCACCCCGTGGGGGCCCTCCCTGAGCCCAGAGACACGTCTCAGCACGCTCACTGCCCTCCTCTGCCCTTCCCTACTTTCCTTTAAGGCCGTGCTCTTCCCCACCTCCTCCATCTCGCTTTGGGCCATCTTCCTGATCTGATCTGGGAAAGATCAGGAATCCAGAGACTGGACAGGGAACTGTGTACATACAGTGTGTCTCAGTGGTTAAAGGCACAGGCTTTGAGGTCAGAAATACATGGGGTTGGGGCTTCCCTGGTGGTGCAGTGGTTGAGAGTTCGCCTGCCCATGCAGGGGACACGGGTTCGTGCCCCGGTCCGGGAAGATCCCACATGCCGCGGAGTGGCTGGGCCCGTGAGCGCGTCCGGAGCCTGTGCTCCGCAACGGGAGAGGCCACAACAGTGAGAGGCCTGCGTACCGCAAAAAAAAAAAAAAAAAAAAAAGGAATACGTGGGGTTGGATCCCGGTTCTGCCATTTATCAACTGTGTGACCTGGGGCAAATCCCCTAATCTCTCTGTGCTCCAGTTTCTTCATCTGTTAAATGGAGTTGTCAGTATTTAAGCCGTAGGATCTTTGTGAGGATTAAATGAGGCAGTGATTTGCAAAATGCTTCACACAGTGCCTGGCACGTAAGTGCTCAGTAAAATGCCACCTGTTACTATTTGAGAACTTTGAGCCAATTACAAAAGAGGCTCAAATGCCACCACCTCGAGGCCTTCCCTAACTGTCTAGAACAAAGGTGGGTAAACCTTTTAAAAACAGCTTTATTCGTAAGATGTGGCACATATATACAATGGAATATTACTCAGCCATAAAAAGAAATGAAATTGAGTTATTTGTAGTGAGGTGGATGGACCTAGAGTCTGTCATACAGAGTGAAGTAAGTCAGAAGGAGAAAGACAAATACCGTATGCTAACACATATATATGGAATGTAAGAAAAAAAAATGTCATGAAGAACCTAGGGGTAAGATGGGAATAAAGACACCGATCTACTAGAGCATGGACTTGAGGATATGGGGAGGGGGAAGGGTAAGCTGGGACAAAGTGAGAGAGTGCCATGGACATATATCCACTACCAAACGTAAAATAGCTAGCTGGTGGGAAGCAGCCGCAGAGCACAGGGAGATCAGCTCGGTGCTTTGTGACCACCCGGATGGGTGGGATAGGGAGGGTGGGAGGGAGGGAGACGCAGGAGGGAGGAGATATGGGAACATATGTATATGTATAACTGGTTCACTTTGTTATAAAGCAGAAACTAACACACCATTGTGAAGCAATTACACTCCAGTAAAGATGTGAAACGAAAAGCAGCTTTATTGGGATGTAATTCATACACCATAAATTCACCCATTTAAACGGTACAATTCCATGCCTGTCAGTGTTTTCACAGAGTTGTGGAACCATCACCGCAATCAGTTTTCATCACCCCAAAAAGAAACCGCGCACGCTTTAGCCATCATTGCCCTCCTCTCTCTCCCTAGGCGATCAGTAATCTATTTCTGTCACTGTAGATGGACTCTTCTGGATATTTCATACAAATTGAATCATACAATATGTGGTACTTTGTGACTGGCTTCTTTCTTTTCACAGTTGATCCATATTGTAGTATACATCACTATTACATTTCTTTTTTTTTCTTTAATGTTTATTTATTTATTTAGGTTGCTCCAGGTCTTAGTTGCGGCACGTGGGCTTCTTAGTTGCAGCATGCATGCGGGACCTAGTTCCCCGACCAGGGAGCGAACCCAGGCCCCCTGCATTGGGGGGCAGTCCCTACATTTCCTTTTTTTTGCGGTATGCGGGCCTCTCACTGTTGTGGCCTCTCCTGTTGTGAAGCACAGGCTCTGGACGCACAGGCTCAGCGGCCATGGCTCACGGGCCTAGCCGCCCCGCGGCATGTGAGATCTTCCCGGACCCGGGCGCCAACCTGCGTCCCCTGCATCGGCAGGCGGACTCTCAACCACTGCGCCACCAGGGAAGCCCCCTACATTTCCTTTTATTGTCAGATAATATTCCATTGTATGACTATACCACATTTTATTTATTCATTTATCTATTGATGGACGTTTCGGTTGTTTCCACTTTGGCTACTATGGATACTGCTGCTCTGAACTTTGTGGTATAAGTTTTTGTGTGGACATATGCTTTCATTTCTCTTAGGTATATAGCTAGGAGTGGAGTTGCTGGGTCATATGGTAACTCTGTCTACCCTGTTGAGGAACTGCCAGACTCTTCCAAAGTGGCTGCACCATTTTACATTCCCATTATCAGTGTGTGAGGGTTCCAGTTTGTTCACATTCTCACTCTTACTTGTTATTGTCTGTCTTGGATTATAGTCATTCTAGCGGGTGTGAAATGGTATCTCCTTGTGATGGCAAACTTTTTTTTTAAGGGCCAGAGAGTAAATATTTTCAGCTTCACAGGTCATAGAATCTGTGTTGTAATTATTCAACTCTGCCATTGTAGCATGAAAGCAGCCATAGACAATACATAAATCAATGAGCTTGGCTATATTCCACTAGAATGTTATTTACTAAAATAGGTGGTAGCTCACAGGCTGTAGTCAGAAGACCTCAGAAGAGCAGGCACCCCTCCCCTCCATCTACCCAGCCATCTCTATCCCCTTTTCTGACTTTATTATATTTATTACTGATGATGATATATATTAGTTCTTGCTTATTGTTTGTCTGTCACCTCTAGGGTGTCAGCTTCTTAAGGGTGGGGATCTTACTTATCATGTATCATTGTTTGATCACCAACACACTTCAGTGCCTAGACATGGTAGATACTCAATAAATATTTGTTTGAATGAATGAATGAAACACCATTTCCAGGTTTATAAGTGACTTATTCTCAATGTCTCTGTCTTTAAAGTTTTAAGAGAAGGTAACTTGTTCCTGTGGCTGGAACCTCACATATCATGAGATTTGGTGTCAGGTAGACCTAGGTCAGACTCAGGGCAGTCCTGTCCTGAGTGTAGCTGAGGCAGGAGGTGAATGAGGAGGCTGGGTTACCCCAGTGTCCCCAAGGAGCCAGGTCTGGGCTGACCCCTTAGCCTGCACTCAGCCCAGGCCCTCTGTCGTTCTGCTCAGATGCCCCCTCCTCCACAGTTTCTACCCAGGGA